CTCACTATGTAGTTGAAACTGACCTGGAACTCACTATGTAGCCAGCCCAGGCTGGACTTGAACTCACAGCGATCCTCCTGTCTCAGCCTCCCGAATACTCAGATTACAGGCATGTACCACCACGCCCAGCTTACATTATATTATAAACATGTTGACTTATCATTATAAGCTCTTGGTAATTTTTTTTTTTCTTTTTTGAGACAGAGTCTCACTGTGTAGTCAGGGCTGGCCTTGAATTTGCGATATAGCCTAGGCTGGCCTTGAACTGGTGATCCCACTGCCTTTGTCTCCTGAGTGCCAGACTTACATGTGCATGTGCCATCAGGCCTGAGTTTGGTAAATGTTTAAAGGTGAAATAGAATTTGATTATATGTTATGCTATCATTTGTCTAACCAGTTCTTGCAAGTGTTAAGTATTTTGGCAGTTCCTAACTTCCCACCTGTGTAAATAATATTACTTTGAATATTTCTGTTATGAAATCTGTATCTGACTTGTAGATAGTAGTATTATGAAATATTTATCTGACTTGTAGATAGTAGTATTGATTTCTGCTAGTGAAGTTCATGAGTGAAGGGTGTGAACCTATTTACAAATTTAGTTTGTAAAACATAAATGTAGGGCATGAACCATTGCAAATGATTGTGATGTAATGGCTTTGCTTTAGCCATTAGTGTCTTAATTCTGAGATGTAGTTAATGTTGTTAATTGGCTGATTTTATAAGCATGACTCCATTTCAGGCAATATTGAAGCTTTACAAGTGAGGCTGATATTCTTTCTTGTGATTGTTCTTGGTTTCTAAAAAAAAAAGAAAAAGAAAAAATCCCAATAAAGCCGTAACATAGCAAAAGAATCAATTTGAAACATGCTTTTCTGTCACAGTGTGAATTTATACAGTTTGTAAAAATGCAACATTTATTGCTGTTCTAACATTTACCAAAAAGTAGTACAGAAGAATTCTTAGGAATCTTATTATAGATTAAAGTGGCAGGTTCAGCAATCTTGAAATGTAGGACAAAGCTCATGAAAACAAATGCGAGCAGAATCTTAGCAGTGAGCTAGTTGAATTGGTGATGGTTTTAAATTCAGCAGGAGGAATTTATTTTATTTTCCATTCATTAACTCCTATACCCTTTATCCAACTTACCGGAATACCTTCAGGGAAATATTTTTCTTTTTAAGCAGTTTTATTGAGGTCTAATTTAAATACCATAAAAACCTACCCCGTCTAGTATACAATTCAGCGGATTTTTAAAAATTAAATGTATAAAGTTATGTAGCCATCACAGTTCAGTTTTGGAATATTCCCAGTTTCCCTTGTTCCAGTTTATAGTTAATCTCTGATTTTGACCAACTCTACACAAGTTGCCTTTCTATTACATTTCTATTTCTATTATATTTACCTTTTTTGGACATTTCATGGACTCATACAATGTGGGTTTTTTTTTTTTGAGTCTCTTTTCTTTTTATTTTATTTTTTCTCATTGAGTTTATTGGTACATTTTAGGTACACAGTACAGTTAAATTCATCATTGGGATCTTGTACCTTTACACGACAGGTCTTGGTTTTCATTTTGAGTCTGTTTTCTTTAGCATAATATTTTTAGGATTCATCCATGTTAGAGCATATGTCAGTACTTTATTCCTTTTTGTTGTTAAAGAAATGGTATTCTGTTATATTGATGCACCGCATTTTATTTGTCCGTTCATCTGGTAAGCAGCTATATATATTAAAAACTTGGAAGGATTTTGTTGACTGGTACTTTAAAAAAATTAAAATAAGTCATTGTAATAAGTGCCCTGTTTAATTAAAAACATGTCCTCAATTCATTTAAATTGGAAGGAAAGTTTGATGAGATAACATACCACAGAGGTAGTCAGCCTATATCATGAAGCCAAAATCATTTAGTAGAGCACATTCTGAGAAGTAGTCGGGACTGAGCTGAGGAAATAAAGAGCTGCATGAAAGGCGGCACTTGTTTTGCAGCTGTTATAACTGAACAAGGTAGGAAGCAGTGGAAACCTTGGGGCAGTGGTGGAGAACCTATGGCATGCGTGCTGCAGTGGGCTGTTTGTATCATTGAAAGCGCTGAAAGGTTCACGTCACTTCCTTAGGTTGGCACGGCTAATGGGTAGGTGTATGTGCTGGGATGAGTGTATCTTCCTGATTCTCTACTTAATCAATTATTTTTTGGTATTGGGAATCGAACTCAGGACCTTGTGCTTGCCAGGCAGGTACGCACCACTGAGATAAATCCCTGGCCCTGATTCCCTACTTTTAGCCATTTTGGATTTGAGTTACAAATTGTATAAGATCTCCTCAGATTCATCTCTTACTAAAATGCTCATCAATTTGGAAACCTGAGTTCTCTGAGTGGTGGGATTACTTTGGTCACGTTCTCCACAGTTCAGAGGTAGCACACAGCAGGAGCCAGCTGTCCACCCTGTAAATCCTGTAAATTGATCATCAACATAGAGGGTGCTGGTGCTGCAGCTGACAGAGGCTCAGAATGGGGAAGCACTCAGGAAGGCTTCCTGGAGGAGGGAACACTTGAGAAACCTTGAATGACCAGGAGACACAAGCTCAGAGCAGATAGGCAGGTAAAGAGGAGACATAGGGAGGGAGTTTCTTACGTGGAAAGGCTGTTGGCCAGCAGGTGGTGAAATGAGGACAAGTGCCCACCAGAGTTTTCTTCTGTTGTTAGGTTAGTCGTGACCTGTGTGCATCCGAAGGCAGTACTGATGATGTAACCCAAACCTTGGGGACTGGGTTTGTGCTGCTTGCCTGCATTCCATACCCCATAGGGGCCAGGCCTCATCTAGAGCTGGCTGGGCTGGGCAGTTATCAACCTGTGCACAACCTGCCAGAGGATGTTAACCTGATAGTTGTATTTGTAGGAGTTCTTTTAAAGGTAGAGACTTTGGTTAATTACAGAGAAGTCTAAACACGGTCCAAGTGATCCCCTCTTCTTTGGGGCAAGTCTTGCACTATTTTTAGTTACTGTTGGATTTAGTTAATTTTGATGGGTGTCCCAGCTTTCAAGAAGCTCTCATATACATGCCGGTGTGGACATGTAGAGACCCTAGCAAATGAACATCTGATGTTTAAGGGGGTTGTTTCTGTGGGAGTGGTATTCTGGGACCTGTGGTTCAAGGTTAGTCACCCATTTACCTACCCACAGAAGCAGCACTTGGGGAGCACATGCTCTGCACCAGGTTCCATGCTAGTACAGGGGATCCAGGAGAGACAAGAGGTAGAAACCAATGGTGTAGTTGAGACAGAGTATGAGGTTTGGCTTCCTCTTGTGGTGAGCCAGTTTCGATCACTTAGCAGTGGTAACCTGGAATCCTGGGATGGATCAGTGTGCCGCAGAAGCACAGGGACAGAGAAGAGCCACCAGCGCTGTTTGCCGCTCTGTTAGAGTTGTCTGGGGTAGACAGAATAATTTAAGTAAGAATTGGGTATGGGAGAGAGACATCCTCTATCTTAGAACAAAGGATGGTTGTCTTGGCAGGATGGGATGTAGTGGATCTGTGTGGGGTGGTGGAACTAGAGTACTGATGTCACTGCTTATTATGCACTGTCTTCAGGAGGACGCTTGCATGTCTTTAAACCTTAGTTTCTTCTAGTATAAAGTAGAGTAATAATACCTGTCTCACCTAGATCATAATGTTGATGGGAGGAGCTAGTGAAATAATAGTATGAGAATGTTGACTACCCACAGAGTGATAAACAACTCGACCATTATTACTACAGGTGTGGTGATGGGGGAAGCAGGAAATCCTTGCAGTTAGGCAAAGTTGAGCCAGATGATAGTGGCCTCCAGGCCTTAGCACTGGGTCCACTGTTCAGCCTGCTGCTTTTTGTCATACCCAGCTCATAACTCCAAGGCTGCTTCCACTGAGGCCACAGAATCTAAGTCTGACCTTGCCTTCTCTCCACCTCATGTCCATATACCATGGTCTGGTTTGATTCTTTGTGCAACTCCTTTTTTTGGTGGGGTGTCCCAGGATCGAACTAGTTCCTTGAGCTATCAAGGCGGGCAGCAGAAGCCCTGAGCTAAATTCCTGGCCCATGTGCAACTCCTTCTGCTAGAACAGTGCAGATGTGGTAAGATAGAGAGCTTGCCTGTCCCAGTCCTACTTTTCTATCCACAGAATCCAGAACAGTACCCAACACCTGGGTGACACTCTTCACATTGGTTGTATGAATGAACGGAAGGCCTCTGAAGTCCCAAGGCCCAGTCAGGCATAGCCCAGAAGTCCTCGAAGGATTGCTGAGAGTTGAGTGTGGTTGCTATAGACATGTTTTCAAATCTCTTGTTTCTCTGGTTAGTGATATTTTGATATTAGTTGATACTGATATATTGAATACATTTAATTAAATGCACAGTAATTGCAACTTAATTGAGAACTCTAGATCTGAGTATATGATGTGATCTCTTATACAAAATAAAGAATAAGAATCAGACTGTGTGTGTGTATTGGTGGTGGTAAGTAATAGGCCATGAAATTGCACAATGTTTCCAATTTGGCAGGCTGGCTGATTCAGTCTTGGAATGTAATCTTGTTCTTTGAACTGCATGTGATATGAATTAGATTTGAAACTTGAGAATTGGAAACAATTAATACTCAGCCCCTCCCTACACCAAACTGATTTGTTCTACATTGGCTTTTCTCCTCCTGCTGGCTGGCACCAATTCCCTTTCCGAGTTTCTCTCTTGTGTCCTGCTACAGTACTGTGTTTTCAGGAGTCTGATGAATACGGCGAGACTGAGCCGGGCATTCTTCCCTGACTTCTGGGGAATGAACATAAACGCAGGGGGTTGTGGAGCGGCCCAGGGCCGGTACTGAGCCCCTGCCTGTAAATCCAGGTGTCTCCTGTGTACCTTCGTGCTGAGCCTTGCACTTGGTGACTCCTTGGCTCTTTGGAGATGCTGGGGTGGCCCTACTTGTGACTCCCTTACTGGGCCGACTGATAAGTCACTGCTTTTCCTGCAGGGTAACCTGTCTGTGTGCCCAGTTTGAAGCCGTCCTGCAGCATGGCTTGAAGAGGAGTCGAGGATTAGCACTCACAGCAGCGGCCATCAAACAGGCAGCGGGCTTCGCCAGCAAAACCGAGACAGGTACTTCTCTGCCTTTTGTGGTTCAGAGAAGCGTTGCTTCTCTCTTGCTCTCTTTGTATGTATGTACGTATGTATGTATGTATTGTAGGTGAGCAGTCATTGCGTGGGCTGGGCTGTGTGACTGTGTATGCAGAAATCTGTGCCTTGTTTGTAGGTAAGATAATGGTGTTGTCTGGCATCTTAATTTAAATGAAGTCATCCTCTGTGCAGATTTCTCAGAGCCACATGTCACTCACTGCTCAAGTTTTGGGAGCCTGAAGCCAACATGCTTATTTCACCGAAGTGGTATGGCAGTTTTCAGGACATAATGGGGATAGCATGACGATTAATAATTAAATGACGTCAATGGCAACAAAATCCCCACAGGTCTCTGAGCTTTGACTTGTGCTGTCATCCATTTTTAACGCCGCACACACACATTCCTGAATGATAGGGATAATGCCATTAATAACTATCAATACTTGGTGCTTATTGCAAGCCTGGCCTCTGAGTCTTCGAGGTATGTTAACTTGCTCAGTCCTTGTGTCAATCCCTGGAGTAGTAGGGGTCTTTGTTAACTCCATAGTGTGGATGGAGAAACTGTTACCAGTGGTTTGCTCTGGATCTGAACCTGGGAGTGGCCTGTTGCAGCTGGGGATATAGCTCAGTGGTGCCTGCCTGGCAAGGCCCTGGGTTTGATTCCCAGTACAAAAAAAAAAAGGCCTCTGGTCTCCTCCTCCCACATTTCAAAGGCAGGCTTTTTCCTCATCCTGCTGTGGCTGCTTCCCTGAATTCTTACTTTTTTTTTGCCCTTGTTAGCATTACTGCTGAAGAAAATGTGTTATCTTTTGCTAGGAAAAAAATCAGAGCTGTTGTGTTAGATGTGTAAGACCTAAAGTCTCACTTCCACTCCACGGAGCGTGAACAGCCAAAAAGGCCTCCACGATGCTGGGCCCTAACACCCAGCGAGGCTCCGGGAGCTCGACGGAGAAATGAGAAACCCAGGAAGGAACACACCAGGTTAGATGGTAAATAGACCTTTATTAATCTGGCCAGACGGCACTCCCTGAGCCAGGTGGCTCAGAGAGGCAACTGCTCAGGGGCTGAGGTGCTTTTTATAAGGTTTTTCTAAACAAAGAGTCGGGGAATTCACAGAACAAGACTGCAAACACATTGCTTATCTTATGCAGGAAATATTCTAGGGTCACCTTTTGTCAAACCATTTGCCCCTGGGCGGGCTGTTAACCAAGGTAGCAATTAGCATATGAAGAAGCACAGTCTAGCCTATTAGCATGGAGTCACTTTAGCCTATTCAAGTCTTACAGATGTACCTGTCTGGGGAAATCCTAACTGGATCCTTAGCCATCCTCTCTGCCTTAGGTTACTGTATCTCCTTTTTCTTCACTCAGCCCTTCTGCAAATCTGTGATTCCTGATGTTGTCTCAACAGCTGCTCATTTTCACAAATGAATGATTGCGGTCAAGAGATGGCTTCAAAGGGGATTCCTATCACTATTGGATTTTGTGGGGGGCTTCTAAGCCCCCTTCATGAAAAGCCAGGGAAACAGGGCCCCATTTCAGAGAAAAGCCAGCATCAGGGGTCTCAGTCTTTGTAGAAATCACAGCCCGTGGTCTCAGTGACTTCTTGTCTCTTACTTCCCTGAGCCTCTGCATGGGTGTGGCCCATTGTTAAAGGCTTGTGGGTGAGAACCGTTGCTTGCTGGGCCCCCGTCCTTCTTGCTTCCATCTTAGCTGTCCCTGGAGGTTCGAAGTGTTAAAGGAACTGGCGTGGAGTAGGCTCTGAGGCTCTTGTCTGATTCCATCTGGGCAGGCACACTATGAGCGTGGCAAAGGCTACCCTGGCTTTGGAGTGAGACTGAGTGTGAGACAGTTTCCCTGGGAGCCTCAGCTTTTCACCTGGGAAGGGCAGCTGTCTTGTCTCCCTGAGGCTTGTCAGGAGAACTCAGTGAGAATCTCATTTGAAACACCTGCTAAATGTTTAACCAGTTGCTCTCCTCTCCTCAGCACCCTTCAGCTTTTTAACATCTCCCTTAGTTCATCCCCCTCAGGACTTTGACCGTTTGCCCCAGAAGAATGATACTTTCAGTTTCCATCCAGACCAGAGTCCTGATAATCCTGGAAACACTGACAATTTGCAAGGCGTCTCCAGCAGTTGGATTCTTGCCACTCTCAGGTCTTAGCATGAGCCCTCCACCTGCACCTAGTGAGAGGCTCTGGCTGTTTTCTGCTGATGAGGATGTGCTGGGCAGCATGTACCGGTTAGAAGAAGGGAACAGACGAAAGCAGCTTAGCCCTTGGGTGGCTACCAAAGGCTTCACTGTTGCTGTGACAGCAGTTTTAATTAACCAGTCACGGGCTGCCAGATTATCCTGGGCTGAGTAAGACCTCTTTCCTTCAGCGCAGTGATGGTGCGCCCATGGCACACGAGCCACAGTGGGTGTGCAGAGCCCTTTCTGAGATGATGTTACAGGTTGTATGAACTGTTCTTTTCTAAACTAGAACCTCAGTATTCAAGTTTAGTTGCAGTGTTGGTACTTGGGATAAATAAGTGGATTTGGGGTTGCAGTTTGGGCTTCAGTCTCTAAAAGATTCGCCATCATTATTCTAGTGAACAGTTGATTAAAATCCTCACTAAGAAGGAGGGTTTGTGGTTTTTCAACTGCTAGGAGTTAGGAGCAATCAAATCAGTGGCTTCCAGTGGCTGTTTTTTTGTTTTTGTTTGTCTTGTTTTGGTGCTGAGGATTGAACTTGGGACCTTGCGCTTGTGAGGCAGGTGTCCACACCACTGTGCTAAATCCCAGCCCTAGCTGTTCTTAAAACAGTTGGAATGACCCCTTCGGACCAAATGAAGAAAATAAAATCTGAAGAGGATTGATGATGATCCTCAGCCTTTCTCCTGCCTGCTGGCTTCAGGGTTGGGCACTTTATGGACTGGCTCTGGAGTCCAGCAACAAGGCCAAAATACCTGCCCAGTGACTTGTCACACATGAAGTCTCTGGGACATCACTTCTCCGAGCTTCTGTTTCCTCAGTTACAAAATAAGGTAATCTCAGGACCTGCCTTGTGAGGTGGTGCGGCTTGCTGAGAAAGCTGCTACAGTGTCTAGGCACAGAGCCACCAGCAGGTGTCACATGCTGACAGGGCAACAACTTTACAGGGTAGGCAGTGGTCTCTTATTTGTTTATTTTTTTGATGATGAAATTGTGGCTTAAGTTAGTTAATAATTTGCCCAAATTCTCACAGCTGGTAGAGGCAGAGCTGAGGATTCTAATCCAAGTCAGATTGATTTCAACTTCCTGGCTCTTACACTCCATCCCCTTCTGGGGCAGCAGGCTGATGTCCATTATTGGGCCTCTGTGCCCTGCTCTAGCTCAGTTAACTAAATTCACAGTGACAGGAGAAAATAAATAATGGTGGGTTAATCTGTGACAGTGTTGCGTTATCTCTGTCTAGAGATGAGGAACATTGCTTTCTTCAGAGAGAACCTCTGCTGGAACTGCGAAGTAATGACTGACCAGAATGATACTGTGGAAAATCACAGTACAATAGATGATGCCAAGTGCTGTTGCTTGACTGCATGTGATCTTCTGGGCTTAGGGTTCATGGAGGACTGAGTTTAGGAACTGGTGCCCTTGGACTCAGCCTGAATTCCTTTTTAGTTGCCACTATTTCAAAATTGTGGAATTTGATGTTGAAATATGGGTTCCAGCTTATGTTAAACTTCAGTCTGTGACTCTGGCCCCACATTTGCACTTGGGGCTTTGGTAGGAGCAGAATACTCCCTGCCTCTGTAGCTGAGGCAGATGTGTTCTTGTTCACCATAGTGAAATTGAGATGGTGTTGATTGTCCTTTACAGTTGCACAATGCTGTGTTTTTCTTACCGTTAGACTCGAGGAAAATACTTCTTGTTCCCACATCTTGATATTTTACTTTGGCCCTTTTGAGTCATGATCCAGAATAAATGGACTACTTAAGTTCCTGAAGTCCCATTGTCATCTTTCCTGTTGCCCAAAGAGGGCAATGGTGCCTAAACTTTGTTAAATGTTTAGGGCCCAATAAATCCACAAATCATAAATGTTCAGCTCAGTGTGTTATCACTGTTCAATCCATTCCGGTTACTATTTATCATCAAGGAGTAGAACATCACTACGATCCCAGGAGCCCCTTCATGGCTTCTCCAGTTATTTTGTCCACTTCTTTGCCAAAGGTAACCACTGCTGTGGCTTCTCACACCATGGATCTGTTTTGTGGGATTTCATATTTAACTTACCATGTCCTCTCTCGTTTCTGGTTTCTGTCACTCAGTGTTGTTTTGTGAGAGTCTGTGTTGCTGGTATACTAGTTGCTCATTTGCCTTCATTGATGATTAGCGTTCTGCAGTTTATTTATGTACTTTATCAATAACATCTGAGCCATGTCCAATTTGCGGCTATTACGAACAGTGCTGTTAGGATTGTTTTTGTACGTATGTGTTGGTAAGATATGTTCCCATTTTATGTGGATCTGTGAATGAAATTCGTGATCAGAGGGTTCACTTACCCTGAGCTTCAGCTGCAGCCCTACCACTTCCTTTTCCAGTGCTGTCAGAATTGTAGCGGAGCTGTGGTGGCCCCACATCTCTGCCACCTTGATATGTCCCAAGGGTGTGTAGTATTTCACTGTGGTTTTGTCATTTCCTGATGACGGATGGTGCTGATCCCTGTCTCTTGTGCTTATTTGCATATTCCATTTTGTGAAATAGTTGTCCAAATATTTTGCCTATTTTTAAAAAATTGATTTGAGTTCCTTGTATATTCCAGACACAAGTCCTTCCTTCCTGTACAAGCACTACAAACATCTTTTCTCACTCTAGTTTACCTTTCATTCTCTTAATGTTTGTTGATGACCAGAAGTACTTTAATAGTCTAATATATTTGTTGTCTTATTGATCCAGGTTTTTTTTTCCTGCTGCAGAAGTCTTTGCTTATCCCAAAGTCATGAAGAATTTATATGTTGGTTTT